ATAGAAGTTGTAAAACTAAGTGATATAGGAGTTAATCAGTGATAGTGATACACATTGTGGATTGTTCACTGCTGAACTGGTATGATTAGATGTATACTCAAGTGAATGATTTTGTTTTGTTTATCTAAATTGACTACAAATTGGTATTAGTCATTTTATTACACCCTTTATATCCATTTAGTCAAATTGTTTCATTATAGTTTATAATACTAAATTTGATAAAATAAAACATCATTCAGTCAGTGAATGATATTCGACTATGGTCGATTGTATATATAGTTTCAGTTTTAGTTTGGATAAGACAGGAGGTTAGATGGTTTAGGTTAGTCCTGATAATAATGATCTCTCAGTTGATCCAACTTACTTTTCAAAGAGTCGACAGATGAAGCTTCAGTCATGTGTTAAGGTAATAAATTCTATTCGTTGATAATTCTATGAGTATCTGTGATAAAACATCTTTTGTTTAACCAGTTATTTAGATTTCTGTGTTCTGTCATTTATTCGTTACAGGTTAAATGTGAGTAATGTTTAATCTAACTTTTCATTATGATAGTTTTACATTAGGAATACTTACTCGTGGATGGGGTTGCTGACCACATCGCCAACCCTCCTCCTTTACCCGGGCTTGGGACCGGCAGTAACTCTAGAAGAGCTATAGGCGGAGTTACATTAGGAATAACCAGTTATTATTTTACAAAGTGATTTACAACTTTGACATCATACGTGAATTACATTTTATTTTAAAGTAGATTATCATGATCCAATGAAGTTTTCTTTAATATTGAAGATACAACAGGTATTTGGAGTTTGAAAACGCTTTAACCGGTAACACCTTCAAATATGAATCGTACCCACCTGTTGAAATCAAATGTTAGAAGAAAGGAGGTTCGAAGATATATTTGATAGGCTATCAAGATATCGAGAATCGGCTGGTCTAGACTGGTTGGCGATTGCAGGAGTTGTCGAGCATGGTATTTCCACTCGTGATCTGGTACGGATGCATGACCAAGAGCCTTCATTTAGGTGATTCCATTAAAATTAATGTGGTCAGCATCCAATGTCGAAGACTTACAAAGTTATTGATTTTGGGGATTTATTTAACGCTACAATATACAAAACCATTGCACTTTACAAATAAGCTAAGTCATTCTAGACTACATTAGTTATTTAATTACCGAAAGCTACGTTTAAACAAGCCTATTCATTACCGATATTGGGACTAAATGAAGAGTTATTACAAAAGCCTCAAAACTTTACAACAATCAATCGATATCTATTTCCAATGAAGTCTAATTAACTAACAAGATGACTTCAATAGCTACCAAACAAGGGCGAGGTGGTGGTTGGGCGAGGGAACTTTTGTCATAAACATTACAACAATGAAAAACAAAAATGGGAGAACAGGGAAATCATTTTGATGTATGAATGTAACAGTATGAGGTGATTTCAATGTTATTATAGAATAATTGTATTCATTCATAATTAGAGAAAAGAGAATGAAAAGAAGACCACCGAACAACAACATTTGCAACAATTATTGTGATGAGTTTGTCGTCATGCAAGTAATAAGTTGATTTATGATGTATGAATTGGGACAGATATTATTTAAATTAGTTGAATTTACCAAGGATCGTGTGAATATAAAATATCTATGAGAAGTGAAATTTAATGAATGAGCTCAGTAATACCAATGGTTGGACGTTTAATGTTCTTCTAAATTAACTAGTGGAATGGAATATAGTTAATGGTATGCTTAATTATCATTCACAGCATACGTGGTCGTACCTTATAAAATACAGCTCGTTTGTGTCAAAGATGGTCTCCCTACTGAATCTTTTACTGGATTAGGTAACACTCAGTTGAAAAGCTTTCCTGGTACTGATAGTAAAATGATGCCACTTTAGTTTTCACATTTACTCAGATCTCCTTTCTTTTGTATTTATTTATTTATTTCAACACATAGATAAGGGTACAAAGAGGCACCAAATACATATGCGCCACACAAATCTCATTCGATATGTGTGAGGGCTGTGATACTGCCCGGGTGCCCAAACCAAACCAGGTGGTTTTCCTAGGGGGCCACACCCCGAGCCTTCGACCTGAAGGTCTGATCCACACGGCAGTGGCGCATCGTGAGGAGATGCAGTCCCATGGAAGCCGGTGACCAACAATTAGTTCATACGCCATTCGTTCCCTCAGGATACTGAAGCCCATATGCACCATTGGTTTTGAATCCGGTTAAAGCAATGGACATTTGCCTTTCGTGTTCTCATTTTCGTAAACAACACTCTGCCACGAGAAGACAGTGAGTGGGACTTCTCTGGTAGTGGCTGTATATTCGTGGCCATGTGAGAGCACTTCGAGTAGAAGAGAGGACTCTCCCCACCCTTGGCCGTCATGAAACTTAATTGTTATACACTTGCATCTTAAGAAAATACTAGTCTGCATAGTAATGATTTCCTGCATATTTGATCGTCTATAAAAGTCACATTCATGAATATTGTTAGGCATCGACAAAATTTCAACGCTAAACGATTAGTTAAGAGATAATTCACACTTATTAACAGCTTACATTTTAGAGTACGTTAGGAAGTTGAACCCATGAAATAAGTCGACAAGATTTGTAAGGAAATCAAGTGTAAAAATTTCCAAATTTTTATTAATTTTTAAAACAGTCTCTTTAATAAATTTGAATGATGTGATGAAAAGATCAAGATTAAATAAACTTATGCGATATGTTAGCTCGACCACCTTCTACTGTTTTCGGTGAGTTACTGCCTCACACCCGACACGGATTAGATCTACCGATCATGGCTTCTTACTAGAATTCCGAGAATTACCCCTCGAAGCTAGTCACTAATAAGTACACGATAACTATATGTGGTTGTGGAGATTGTTGAGTTTTGATTGAGATCGCCGAATATCGTGGATTGGTTGAAGTTAGATATTAACACCGTTGGACGTCAGTTCAGTGGTCTAGAGGTTAATCGTTAACGCGGGTGACTAGAGGTCCTGGTTTCAAACCTTGTGTGACGAATCGTGGATGTGAACTGCTGAGAAGTTCCATACTAGAACAAAACGGCCGTCCAGTGATTCTAGGTTTTCCATGATGGTCTAACACCAATCGGTTTATGATCTCAATCAAAACTTAAAAATCTCCATAACCCCTATACTGATGATTCTAATCGTTTAGTTTAGTTCTCACATTATTTAGATTATAGTTGATTATCAAGATACAAATGAATGACTTGGTTATTTTTCATGTATTTACTTCTTGAAGGTACCTTTGTATCTTCCAATTCTCTTACATAAATTACATTCAATATTATATACTTGTTCCTACTTCAGTATTCTAAAAGCTAATTGATAATCTGTTTGATATCACAATGTTTACTACACTTTGTATTTGCAGTAATTCTGTGTAATGTTCTGTGGAAAAAAAAATAGTATAGAATTGCATTTGGTCTACATCCTTGATATATGGTTATATACCTATATGATCACATCATTATCAAATGAGTCAATATTATCTACATGACAGTTTGTTAATATTAAATGTGGATGATGATTATACTTGTGGTGTCGGTTATTATATTAAGTCCATATACATTTCTTATCCCATTACTCATCATATGTCTGTAATTTACTTTTGTGTAACTATACATATTGATTAACGCTTGGTTAAAAGAGGAGTTGGCTTACCGGCCATTTCCACTCTGAGTCGTTTCTGTTCTCTCTACTCCATTCGCTTTATATACAAAATATGATGTATTCAGAAGTCCATTGTCGTTATTTGACTTATCTAAATTCGTTATTGACTAACTCGATTTAAGTCGATGATTATATACAAGAATAGTCAATAACAAACATTCATACGATCGAATTAAAGTCAGAACTTGGATCACTAAAGTGAAGAACCGTTTCAACAACATCGTTCGATATAAACGACGATTAAATAACGGGCCTCACTAAATACTTTAGGAACTTCATAATGATGAATTTATAATAACCCGATGAATATCTATTTTTTCTGTTAAATATTAAAAATTATTTGAATTTTGGTTTAAAATTTAAATTAAGAACATATATTGATTCTATTATCATTATCGTTTTATTCTTTTCATCGCTGTCATTAATAGCGGTCTACTTGAACATCTGGACTACTTGTTCCTGTCATCGATGTAAATATTTCAACAAGTTCCCTGTTTTCTTGTTTATTTTAATAAATCATTATGTCTATTAAATACATAACCTATTCAGGCATGTTTCTGAAAAGTGTACAACATTTCAACTTACTTAGTGTTGTTTTACTTATATCTTCCCATTGTTATTTAGGATTGCCATTGATCAGGCTCATATTGGCATATGTACATCGTGTGCAGATTGCCTTGATATAGCCTTAAGTCACAAGCTTTTTGTAAGCAATGATGGATAGTGGCTAGCTGTGGAATCCAGGTGTTGCGTTTCGTCCACCACCAAGTGAATTTAAACTTCATCCCATTGAACAAACAAATGGCTATCAGTAGCTAAGTGGATAACGTGATGGCGTACTGGGTTCGAATCCCGGAGTGAACATCAACTCTGGAATGTAGGTATATCCAGCTGACAAGTCCAAAATAGGACGAAACGCGCGTCCTCCATTCCATTGCTAAACACTATCCATCTGTACAATCTTTCGTTGTACTAGTTACAAAAAAGCTCAATCAGAGATATCGTGGTTACACTAACAGTATACAGTGAAAGGAATATACATTATTTAGATGTTCGATTAAATGGACTGCTAACATCGAACTGATGTTTACTCTTTATTCATTGTCAGGATCAACCGAGAATAAAGAAAAAGGGAAACTTGTTGAAATACTTTATATTGAGGATTCTATATTGTACCCATTACACAATATTGTATAAAGCCATTAATCATTAAAAGTGTATACATTTTGAAGTAGTTAAATAGAAAGAAATGATTATCATAAATAATCCTCCCCCCCAAAGACAATCAATCAATCTTCCATTTTCAATGTCATTTCCGGTGGTGTTATTGCTATTGGATAGAATTTATGCCATTGTGATATGACTTGATCTTTTGTAGCTAATACACGTTCCCAATGTTCTAATTCATTAATACTTGTATTATATTTACCTTAAATTATTCATAGAATTAAAGAAAATACGATTTTTTTTTCATTATTTCACAGAATGTTTATAATAATAGTAAATTTGATAAGGTGTCAAATAGGAAGTTTAATAATTTTCATAAACGATAATAAAAGAACTATTTGCTATCATAATCTTACTGTTACCTCCAATGGAGCATAGGCCGACGAACAGCGTTTAGCAATTCACTCTACTCTGGGCATTCGACAACCCACTTTATCCTCCGCTTTCCTTTCTAGATCTATCCAATTCTTGTTCATCCTTCTCATGTCTGTCGTCATTTCTCGGCCTAGTGTGTTCTTTGATCTTCCTCTTCTCCTTTATTTAGCCTTGAGGATTCCAAGTGAGGGTGAGGGCTTGCCTTGTGACGCAGTTGAGTGCTTTCCTCAATGTGTGTCCTATCCACTTACAGCGCCTCTTTCTTATTTCTTCCTCCGCTGAGATCTGGTTTGTTCTTTCCCACAGTTGGTTGCTGCTAATAGTGTCTGACCAACGGATCTGAAGTATTTTACTTAGACAACCGTTAATAAACACTTGTATCTTCTGCATGATGGCTTCCGTAGTTCTCCAAGTTTCCGCCTCATACAGTAGAACTGTCTTGACATTTGTGTTGAAAATTATGACTTTGGTGTTAGTTGACATTTGTTTTGAGTTCCAGATGTTCTTCACTTGTAAATATACTGCTCTTGCTTTTCCGATCCGCACATTCACATCTGCATCAGATCCACCGTATCCATCACTGATGCTTTCCAGATATGTAGAGGTTTTTACATCTTCCAAATCTTCTCCGTCGAATGCGATCTGATTGGTGTATGCTATGTTGTATTGTGGAATCTTGCTTTTCTCTTTGTGTATATTGAGACCTATTGCTGCTGAGGTTGCTGCTACACTGGTCGTCTTCTCTTGCATTTGGTGTTGTGTGTGTGATAGAAGATCCAGATCATCTGCGGAGTCTAGACCGTGTTACCATAAACACTATCACAATATTGAGATAGTGGAGAAGATTTGTAGCTCCGGTGAATGATTTCGATGGAGTTTCGTTCTCTAAGCTGGACGGTTTATGCTGATGATGTTGTTCAGAATAAGGATGAAAGCTGCACAACTAAACCATCCAGCTCAGTAAACAAAACTCCATCAAAAACTAACATAATATACTGACTTAACCGTGGAGGCATAACACTTATTAGATAAAAATGATTTAAAAATTAAAACATCGTTCAAGATAAGTAAAGATTGATCGAAAATTTTAAGTTCTCTAATTGCAATACCTTGCTTTAATCGTCCGAAATATGAATTACTTACTTACCTACTTACCTACTTACTTAATTACTTTCTTACGTCTGTTACCATCAATGGAGCATAGGCAGCGGACCAGCATTCTCCAACTTACTCTGTTCTAGGACAGCTCATAATTCTTCAGTTCAAATCACCATTTAAATAGACATTATTATTTCATGTAGTTTGTTTGGTTTCTTATTAAATTGTTCTCTTGTTATCCTGATGTAAAACAGGGGAACTTGTATAGATAAGTTAGACCACCATGGAAAACCTGGAAGCACTGGACGGCCATTTCGTTCTAGTGTAGGACTCCTCAGCAGTGCGCAGCCACGACCTGGCTCACGAGATCCGAACCCAGGACCTACCGGTCTCGCGCGTGAACTCTTAACCCCTAGACCACTGAGCTGGCATCTAACAGTGTCAGTATCTAACTTCAACCCTTATTTATTCTGATCATGGATCTTAAAATTTTCACTTAATATACAAGATGATTCAATTTAATATTCTATATGAGTCATAACAACTTGATTCTATTTTGTTTGACAATCCTAAAGTTATGTGTTAAAACTGTATTCAACGGTTTTTCAGGATTACGAAGTCTTAGACTCAAGCTGAAGATCACTTGTCTCATTTAAAGCAAACATAATTAGATAATTAAAACTTTATCAGGCTTCAGTCTAAAAGTCTGCACCATTTATATGCATATATGATAATATTACAGCAACGAAGGGAATTTCTCAGTCAGTGACAATAAAATGTATTGCATGTTTAATAGTATTCATGGGGACAATAAACAGAGTAGCAACGTGAATAATTATTTTGACGTAGGGAGTAGGTCGAAACTTCAGGAAATTAACCAGTCAGTTAATCCTGCTACCTTTCATGAGACAGGGGTCAACAACCAGGAACGTCCAACCAACTCTGTCCTAGACTGTCCTTACCAGGTGCTGCCAAATGCTATTCGTAGTCTTATTTCCCATCTTCAATTACAGACACCAAATGTTCTTAGTTGTGCTTCACATTCTTTTACTTCACAGATTCCAAGTAAGAGAGTGCCTTATGATGCATGTTGATGGTTTCCGTACAATGTCTCCTATCTACCTCCAGAGTCTTTTTCTAAACTCCTGTTGAACTGGTAGCTGACTGGTTTTCTGGATCTCGGGTATCTTGAGTCGACAGGCGTTTTTATAAACACAAATACTTTCTTATTGACAGGGGTGGTAGTTCTCCAAGTTTCCACCCCATACGATAGAAATATTCTGATTTTTGCATTGACTATTGCTTACTGTTGGGTACTAGCGGTTAACTGGGTTAATAAAATGCTTCCTCCTCCTCCTCAATCTTCTTACTCGTGAATATGAAGCTTGTTGACCCGTTAGATGGTGGTTGGAGGTAATCTACAGAAAACCCTGGACTCGGGTTTCGTGCCACTTGACACTCGTCAGCAAGGTGTACCTGGTGCTCCCTGACGGATTCGGTCTCGTGTCACCCAGCTTCACAGTCAGAGACGTGTCGAGTCACCTAGACTGGTGGCCACATTGCATCATGGTCAATAGCATTTGGTCTGCACTAATAATAAGGACTTGACACACATGACATTGGTCACCACCCAGTGATCAATCAATTGTGACTTATTGACCCGTATCAGAATCTGATACAATGAAACAATTAACCCACATCAACCTTGTGTTCAGCGTTTAATAAAGCCCAAAATACTAAGGAAAAACACTTATCTAACCTTCATTCCCATGGGAACTTAATATTTTTTTATGTAAGAACTTACCTATTTTGCACGTTCCAATTATAATTCGTTTATTGAATGGTTTTCTTTTGAATAATGAAAATTCTACAGTGATTCGACCTATTTGATATGGTTTTATATAAAATGCAAATGTTTCATTCATGTGTATTGTAGATTGTTGTTGATGAGATGCACTATGCGCTTTATTGATTAAACCATCTTCTTCTGTTCTAATAAATAATTTCACATAGATACCTAATGAAAGAAAGAATAATTAAGTAATTGGAATAACTATCTTTGATGCCTATAATTTTTTTATTATTAACTTACAGAGAACAATTGAGCAAGTCATACAGTTTTTAAGCTTTTAATGGGGTTTACTCACTTACTTACTTGCCTACAACTGTTACTCCCAGTGGATCATAGAGCGTCAACCAGCATTCTCCAACCCTCCTCTCCTTTATTTAGCTGTGAGGATTGTAAGTGAGGACTTGTTTTGTGATGCAGTTGGGTGCTTTCCTCAATGTGTGTCCTATCCACTTCCAGCGCTTCTTCCTGATTTCTTCCTCCACTGGAATCTGGTTTATTCTCTCCCACAGTGAGTTGTTACTGAGAGTGTCTGGTCAACGCATCCGAAGTATTTTACGTAGACAACTGTTAATGAACACTTGTATGTTCTGGATGATTACTTTGGTAGTTCTCCAAGTTTCCTCCCCATACAATAGAACTGTTTTGATATTTGTATTGAAAATTCTGAATTTGGTGTTGGTTGACAGTTGTTTTGAGTCCAAGATATTCTCCGCCTGGAGCCCCTCTTCAGCTACTGCCGGTCTCAAGCCCGGATAAAGGAAAAAGGGTTGGGCATGTGGTTAGCGACCTCATCCTGTGGAAAACTAACTCGCTAAAATAACGCTGACCAGAAAAAATTCAAATCATTTAATTGGATTTAAAGCTGATTTATTAAAGTGTTCACCTCTACGTGTCAACCAGACTGTCATGGATAAACTGAGCTGCCTTAACTTTAAGTTAATTATATGACGGATCTTAACAAGGACTGATAAGTGAAATAATTTTTCGTTATAGGAACTCGAATGAAATTAGACCCTTTTGTTAAGTCTGTATGGTGTAATAAGAAGAGGAAGATGATCAGAACTATGTGATGATAGATTAGTGCAATACATTTCAAATACATGAAGGAGGTTTGAATTTTTGTATGACCAAGACTTCAATAAACTTTAGTATTCACCCTTGACTTATTTTTACGTATAAATATTCTTAACATGCATATGGGTGATCAGATGGTTCGAAATGCATTGCACTAATATATGTATCACATAGTTCCGATAATCTTCATCTTCTTATTACACTGTCCAAATTTTCAGTATAAGGTTATGAAGATTGTCAAATTTCATTGGAATCGTTAACCGACCGGGGTGACCATTGAAAACCTGATTCACTAGATGGCCATTTCGTCTAAGAGGTCAAGCATTCGTACGCAAGGACGAAGGTCTTGAGTTCGATTTTCTGCTTACGATGTGGTGTATACGCTCTTCTGAGGAGTTCTATACTAGGATGAAACAACCATCCAGTAATTCCAAGTTCTCAATGGTTGTCTAAATCTGATCAGTTCGCAGTTTCATTGAAAATAATTTTCATCAGTATGCTTACCTCTATTAAAGTTGGATCTTAATTATGTTTAGTACTAAATCGATCTTCTATTTACCAACTTACCATAGAGTAGAATTTGATTTGATTTCCAAAATAAACAAATCAATATTAGACTTTAAACTTTCCTAGAAAAGACCGAAAAATTTATGTTCTGGTTGGTACTGGTTAAATATTATGAAATAAGTTACAACACAATCACTTGTCTAAATGACTTGAAATTATGTACGCTACATTTCATAGCCGGATCTTGGAGATAATCAGCAAGAAATTCATGATATTAGGTAAACCAGTTTCAATTTTAATACAGTATGAGATTATAGGTACACTTTACCGATCAATGACTGTTAAGATAAAACCTAGCTCAAAGTATTCCTTAGAATAGGGTTGTGGAGATTATTAAGTTTTTGATTGAGATCATGAAGTGATTGATGTTAGACCTTCATTTACAACCTGAAAGCACTGGACAGCCGTTTCGTGCTATTGTGGGACTCCTCAACAGTGTGCATCCACGATCCACGACATTAACACCGTTGGATGCCGACTCAGTGGTCTAGAGGTTAAGGGTTTGCACACGAGATTGAAGGCTTTGGGTTCGAATGCCATCAGCGTGATCATGGATGCGCACCGCTGAGGAGTCCCACATTAGGACAAAATAACCTTCCAGTGCTTCAAGGTTATTATCAATGGTTGTATTACATTAATCAGTTCATGATCCCAATCAAAGTATTCCTGTTGAATGCTTCCAATTATTTCATTAGATAAAAGAAAACTTATTATAAAGTGAATATTTTTCTATCACTTACTTCGTTTTGGTATTTTACTTATTCGTATACCAATAAGATTAATTTGTTGAATACAACATTCAAATCGTCCAGTATTTTGACTTAATCGTAGCGTAAGTAAAACTTTAGATAATCGTGTATTGAAAATGATTGCATTTTCATTCTGTGGACAAATTGATGGTCGATCTTGATCGGTTAATTTTGACGTTGCAATTTTACTTTTATCGTCTGTTTCAACTTCTGTCTGTTAATTTTTAAAAAAAAATGGTATGAATTGTTTTCAATGAAAAGTTTAGATAAATCATTTGGGGCAGTGTTCGGTGACGACTTCGAGTTACAGTATGGTAACAGATTCGAATTATCGTTATGGACTAGTGAATTTTAACTCAGTGCGGTGAGACTATAATTTATGGACGTCCATTGAGTAACTCTAAAATGACCATGGATTATCCACCTACTTACTAGGGTGAAATGAGAGTGAAATATTAGTGTGAGGGATTAGGACTAGAGTTTACAGTTGAACGTTATGTTTAGGAATTAGATTCCATGTTTTCATCACGAATTGACATCAGCTATAAAGCTAAAATGGTATTTAGCTTAATGAGTGGATGAATTTCGTGCCGAAAATCAAGATCTGCTATCTTAAATCTGATTGGCTCGTCCATAAATTATGATCTCGCTGAAGAAACAAATGCCCATTGATTCTTCAGCTTTCATAGTTGTCTATTTGATTTTAGTTCATGGTTAAAGTTGACTTCGAATGGTAACAAGAATCAAGTTAAATGCTCAGTGATTGATAATTTTTATATGAACTAAACTGCATCCACGATCGCGTCTTCCGCTATGTTCGAACCCAAGACCTATCAGTGTCACGCCAGGCGCTTAACCAACCAGACCACTGAGCCTGCCGACATCCAACGGTGTTAATGTCTAACTTTAATCAATCCACGAAGTTGAGCCACCGTACACCATTGTCTTCAGTGAGTTGATATCTCACAACAGACCTAGTTTAACTCCACTGGTAACGGCTTCTCACTAGAATTCCAGGAGTATCTCTTAAAGTCAGTCACTAGTAAGCAGATGATTAAAGAATAATAATCTTACCCATTAGGGGAGTTATTGATCTAAATTAACGTTAAACAGTTGTGATATTGAACTTGTTATATCCTAGTGAAGATTATATTACGAGTAACTTCTGCCAACTATGAATTGACTAATATTCTGTATATATATTCTTCTTGTATAACTATTCAGTAACTAGATTATGTATATCGATATTCTCCTTTATTATAAGTTTCATTTTGGCCTATCGACTACTGTTATACGATTTAACTATTCCTAAATTATACTCAGTTTATTGATTACAGTCTCCCACAATCACGTTCACAGTCACTTTTTGGCTTGATCTTGTATAAATATTATTTCCTATTTTATAATGTGATGTGATCTGTTTAGCTGGTATATAAATCAAGTATATTTGAAATGATTCGTACATCGAAAGCTATTCATAGTGTTCTGAACTCAACTGACAGGGTTAGGAAGACAAAGGATCAACAAGGACTGTTAGGCTGATCCGACCAGTCGAACGTCATTGATTTAGCATAGTACAAGTGTGAATAAGTCGTATTTCGATTGGCAAATAAATTACGTGATAATTAGCCAACCTTAAAGACACAACAGAACCCTTTTGTTAATCCTCATAAAAGATTAGTTACATTTGCATTTTAGGATTCAGTGGTTAAGAATGTTTACATTTAATGAAATGCAATAACTCGTAATGGTTTGTAATTTTTTATTACTAAAATTCAGGGACCCAACTGATCGGTACATCCCAGACGCAAATACTTAACAGTTGTAATCGTGGATTTTAACAACGGGGACTTACACACCACTACAAATAGCTTCATACTCTTTAAACGAATTGGTATCCTTTAATAAGGATATATGTATATGAGGATAACCATCCCTTATTTAATGTTCAATAAAAAGTGAATTAAGCAATTAATAGTGGGTGAACACATACCTAAATGGGTGAAGAATCAGATGAATTCCAATGGTCAAATAAAATCACAGAATAGACAGACATCTTCCTCTATAGCGAAACATTTACTTAAGACTGGTCATAAGGTTGATATGAAGTCAACATTTGTAGTGTTATACAAAAGGTTTATTGAAGCCTTTGGTATAGGGGAACTGAAACCTCCTTTATGTGTTCAAAAACAATTTGTTCTTGCCTTTAACCTACCTTAGTAATACTGATTTATTATCCAGAGTGATTAACATTCTGTGTACTATATTCCTCTTTGTTACGGCTTACCTTTAACCTGTCTAATTGACCATTTATTTCTTTATATCTAAATGTTCTTAACAAGTATATAATGTGTGATCAGATTGTTCGAAATGCATAGCGCTAATCTATCATCAGATAGTTCTGATAATCATCTTCTTATAGCATTATCGAAAAACTGATGCATCTAGCATTATGGAGCATTTTTATACTCGTCTAGTGAATTAGTTGTACATATACAAGTATGATTTTTACTTGGGATTTTATTTGAGTCAGTTAAAGTTATCTATATATGCCTTTTATGAACACATGAAAGTAGCCCATTCTAAATTGCTAAATGAAAGAAGCAAATTAAGTAAGAAGTTAGAACTTAAACTAAAAATCCTTAATGAAATTTATACCCTCTTATGTAGCATTCATCAGTTAAATGAATAGGAATAAGTGTCAGCCAGTCAGTCAGTCAGTCAGCAACAACGCAGGACTTCATATGTACGTACATCAGTCCGAGTTGCCATACCACATTAGCACAGAGATGCAGTGGTCGATTCGAATCCCATTGTGGTAGAGGTGGTTTTTGGTGGAGTTCTGTTCTCTGAGCTGGATGGTTTGGTCGTGGAGCTTACATCGTTCTTCTGAACGACATCATCAGCACAAACTTCAGATAGAAGTGAAGTGTTCGAATTTCTCCATATGTGTTTCACAGCTTGTTCTTTACACCTCGATGTTGACTGGTTCTTATTGACCTTAAATTTGTTATTGTTTACTTCTTTGTTTTGGTTGTGTCTACCATTGTTTTGATTTTTGTTCTTATGTTTGTGCATGATTTTCCTGATTGGTTGATAAATTGGATTGATTTCAATATGATTGTTGATTGCTGATTGACCTGAGTGCCAGGCTTCTAAAAATTCTCTGGTGTTTTTGGAGTTTCCTCTGTCTAAGATTGCCATATTTTTCCAATCGAATGAGTGTCCGTAGTTGTCCACGTGTATTGATATAAGCGAAGAGATATCATGCCGTTTGACTGCTAATTGATGTTCATGTAGGCGAAGGTGGAGGGGGCGTCCGCTTTGTCCGATGTAGTGTTTTTCGCAGTTGGCACAATTTATTTTGTAGATGATGTTTGATTTGTTTTCCTTTGTTATTTCATCTTTTGGTTTGTATAAGATTGATTGTAGTGATTTTGTTGGTAGTAAAAGTATAAGCAGTCATCGGAAACATTAGGGTGTGAAGATATTATTCAAGGAGTATAATCCAGTAAAATAAATTTGGAAAGAGAAAAAAGAAAGGGACATGAAGAATTCAGAAGATTATAATTTGAGAGGACACAAAGAGTGGATGCACCTACGCCATGGCGAACGATTTAGAACCATGTCATTCAAGGTCTCTAACCATCGGTTGCTATCATCTAGTGGATCCCAACCAGTTAGTCTACACCTACCAACATGGCTCACTCAGTCCACCTATCAGTGATTTCATGGAATTGTGTCATGAAGAAGATATACTATATATCATACATATTGAATATGGATTCTCTACAGAATCACGGACATGTATCCTATCTTTTGCATACAGAAAATTGTTGTTCAAAGGAACTCATGTCAATAAGAGAGGGAGTATTAAAACGTAACTTCAACAATACAGTAAAATAATAACTCTAAATAAATATCATAGAACCAATAACGAGTATCCAATATGGTACACATTAGTAACTAAGTGTTTGTTTATTGAATTCAGATCCAAGTGAAAAAATAAACTTATTAAACTAAATCACAATATAATGAAGTTGTGATGGTTCATAAGATAAATCAGTATTCATTTTCTATAAAATAGATTATCGGATTAAAGTTCATAATCATACAATGATGCATAATGACAATGAACTATATTCTTAGTTATAATTCGTTATGATTAACTAGGACAATATTAGGTAAGAAGTAACAAAGCCATTGATGTTTTAGTGGTGAAATGACTTAATCTTTACAGAAAAGAGAGAATGATGAATAACGAGAAAATCTGGAGTTGTGTAGAATCTTGTCGACGGTTAAGATCGCACTGTCATATAGACCTATGAAGCTGTTATTACAATACATAACGGGATATAACCATACTTCATATAAAATCAAGGTAGTTAACAAGTTATAAGATTGAACAACTTCATCAGCAGAAATAATACGTCAAACTGTAACTGCAATATCTACCAGTTGGTCTTATGTTGTATCAGTTTATCTTCTAGCGCCCCCTGAATGCCCTGGTACGGCCGAGAGTGGGGAGAGTCCGCTCTCCCTCTCGAAATACTCTCACACGGCCACGCGTATATAGCCTCTGCCAGGGAAGTCCTACTCATTGCCTTCTCGTGGCGGGGGTGTTGTTTACGAAAATGAGAGGACGAGAAGCGAATGTCCGGCGCTTTAACCGGATCCCAAACCAATGGTGCACATGGGCTCCAGTATCCTGCGGGAACGAATGGCGTATGAACCAATCGTTGGTCACCGGCTACCATGGGACTGCATCTCCTTACGATGCTCCACTGCCTTGTGGGTTAGACCTTTAGGTCAAAGGCTCGGGGAGTGGCCCCCTAAGATAACCACCTGCTTCGGTTTGGGCACCCGGGCAGTATCACAGCCCACACACAAATGATGAACTGTTTATGTCTATGGAAACTACTTTTGTCGCTTTGAAAAACAATCAATTGATTCAAATTATGTTCACTTCAATTATTGTCATTATTAATACTAATATTATTATTACTACTATTATTGTCATTATTGTTATTATTATCATTATTATTATTATTTTCCACATTATTCACCTTCTTTTATACTTATACAGCGGCTCGTCTTTGGTGGAATTCCGACTGTATCTAAACGTTCTCGAGTCACTGTCCGGTTGAAAATTGTATGTTACCACCGAATACGAGGACTGAAGCAGATTTTCTGAAACCACGTGCATCATTCAAA